CCTAATATGATACAATAACTATACAAAGCAAATTCAACAGTATCTGTATCTTTGGCAGAGTAAAACTCTTAAAATAGGCAAAGAAGTACTGGTTTTGAATTTTCATCCAGTTGTGCTATTGGTATCTTTGTCATAGCAACAAAATAAATGTCCCGTTTAGCAAGCACAGTCTTGCCAGCTTTCTGTCCCTCAGAGTTCCTATTTCCTTTGAAATAGACTAAAGAAATTAAACTCATCCCTAAAGAAAATGGCCTTGATGCCACTAGAGGTCACCCTAGGAATAAAAATCAATGCCTTGCATGCACAAGAACTTGCAGACACACCACTGCTCCTTGACCTTTCAAGCACAAATGTACAGAAGAACATAACACACAGAAACATTGCGGATATCAAAATTGTGAATTCCTAAGAGAAATCTTTCCCGTATTTTGAGGCTATTGCAAATTGACTACATTGCTCTTTAGCATATTTTAGCTCTTGGGTGCCTGATAGTACCGGGCATATTTGCCTTATCTCTTGCAAAAAAACCACCCAACAACAACAACAAAAAACCCACCAAAAAACCAAAAACCCAACCAAGCAAAAAAAAAACCCAACCAACCAACCAACCAACCAACCAACCAACCAAAAAAACCCTCCTTGAAACGATGGACTTCAGAGTATTTCTCTAAAGTGCTTTATTTAGCCCATACATAAGATATCATTTTTCATCACCAAGAATGACGGTCTTAAAACAGGCCATCTATTATTCTCCATGGACTGTGCTGGATTTGTGTGGGAAAACACAAACTGCCAGTTTCCTCAGCTTCTGTCATTTTGTGATTGAAAACATTTGTGTCTCTTAATTTCATGGCATTAGTACAGATCAAGACTCTTCTGCTTCATATGAAAAAAGTTAAATGTCATCTCAGTTACAAGATGTAAAGCAGTGAAAGAAACCAATCTCATTTTGTTTAAATATGGATTTATTTAAAGAACAGATTAACTCTGATGCAAACCAGCAGTTTGGAAGTGCTATGTGCTTTCCATTCACACAGATCACAGCAGATGAGTTCAAGACAGTCATAATTATTGGACTAATTAATGTTATAAATGTCTGGAAGAAGCTGCTATGGTTGCAGAGAGGACTACCATACACTTCCTGAACATACCTGATATCCAGAGCAGGTACAAACCAGCATTTCTAGTGGCATGAGCCACATTTGAAGGGTTCAATGACAGGTTGGATGGAACTTTGAGCAATCTGATAGACTGAACTGTCCCTCCCCATGGCTGGAGGATACTAGATGATCACTAAACCTCCTTTCCAACCCAAATAATTCTGTAATTCTGGAACCTGACACTCTGGACAACTGGGAGCAGCAGTTTCCCTTTGTAACTCCTCTAATTTACAGAAAAGTGTCAGACAACATATTTGCATTTTGGTATCGGATATGCGGTAGTGGCAGCGTCACAAGTATTGGAAGAATCATTGCTTGAAATCCTTTCCTAAGACTGGCTGGAATACTCCTGCAGGAGTACCCTGAGGCATCCATTACACAGCACTGTCTGTCCCTGCTGTACTCTGTGCTGATCATGGTCAGTCACTTCTAGACAAGGAAAGGTGAGTGAGCAGAATGAAACGTGCTATAAAGAAACACACAGCAAGGAATGAAAAAGGGCATGAGCTGATACTAACATCTTTAGAACAGGCTTTGAAAATGGAGGAAAAGATGGTACAGATAAAGCTGGAAAGGGAAGAAAGATAAGCAGAAATTTCCCTATGTTTGCTTAAAACCAAATATGTATTACAAATCCAAATATAAAAATAATATGCCCAAATCTTTGCTCGCAGGTATTTGCCACACTAAATCAAATGCTGGTATGCATTTTCAGGGATTGAAACATATCTGTTGTTTCTGACTCACCTCGTCATTTAATTTTTTATGAGAAGTCAGTTTTTCAAGGGAATTTTGCTTAAAAAATAACTTGGGAACAGCTCTTTGAATAACATCAGAAATACAGAATCTTATTCTAAAAAAATCTGGAAAAACAAGTGGGTTTTTTGTTTGGTTTGGTTGCAGTTTTTAAATAAAATATTGATAAAACTGTGCCTTAATACTGAAATCTGTACAAGGGATGCAAATTCCTTACAAAGACCCACAATTATCTTTTTTTTTTTTTCCATCTCAAATAGCTTTAACAAAGACAACAGAGTTGGACAGTAATTTACTCCTACCAAACCTCCTCAGAAGCAAAAAGGTTTTGCCATCAGGCTCTGCATTTTACAGAAATACTGTTTTAAAGCATAATAAGATAATGCTTCACTAGAGTCAAATAAAGCTGCAACTTTTTTTTTTTTACAACACTGCAAACCCCAGGGAAAGCTTTTCTTTCCTTTCTTTTCTCCCATCTTTTTCACCCAGAAGTATGTTTGTAACCCAGTGATTTTGCTGTCGATACTTAAGCAGTGTGCACATTCTTTCATTTTAAATATCGTGAAGTGCAGTTTGGCATGCAAAAGGAACTTTAAATCCTGCCTAAAAATATAGTCAAGTGTCTTACTCTGAAAGATCTTCATAAGGATAACCACAATAATTTATTTGTATAATAAGGTATTTTTTGCAGTTAATAAAGATGAAAGGCACACTGAGATGAATCCTTGCAAATTTACATAAAGTATTCAATGTTTCTGGTAGTGTACTGACAAACTTGGAGCATCCCTTGTCTCTGATGTTGCCTCCCGTCTATTTGTGTCCTTTCTTAACTCCCAGCATATGGTGTTTTAAAAGAGATAGCTAAGAGCAATGGGCTAAGTAGTGGTGTTTTCCTTCAAAAAGAAATCCACATCTTAAGCACAGCCATAAGGGAAACAGATCTACACTCTTTAAAATCTGACTAGAATAGTTTCTTGAAGAGTTTTAACCATAAAATGCTTTAAGTTAAGGGGAAGAAAAAAAGGCAGCTGGAAGATGTTAACTTGGTTTCTAGTTGAAACAATGGTGTATTTTATTTCATGTTGGGATTTCAACAGACCCTTATAATTAGACTTTTGACCACGCAGTTTTCATTAAAAAATATCTTGATGACATTCTGATCATCGAGAAGTTCCTGCAAGACTTGGCACCTGTTACTCTTTGAAAGAACATTCATCCAGAAAGGCAGGCAGGCAGGCAGGCAAATAATAGTCCCCAACTCACAGAATAAATAGTAAGTCTAAATATCCAGAGTATTTAAAATAATAATGTAAATACTAAAAAATACTTTGTGAGGTCCAGACTTAGTGAGAATAAGCAGACAGCAATGCTCAAAACAAAAAGGCAAAACCACATGGGTTGCCTCCTACGAGGTGAAATAACAATAGAATATTCACATTGTGAATGTATAGCTTGTAAAGTCACTACTATGGCATTTCCTAAGGACATGCAAAGTTATACCTACCTATGTCATGAAAAACAGCTTAGTTATTGAAAACAGCATTTGAAACACAATTTTTCTATGTAGTAAAGAAGTCAGTGTACAAGACCAGATATTATCATTCAGATTGAAACACACACTCAGAACGCATTAGTTCATTTTTCAGAACATTAAAAAAGGGATTCTCATAAACAGCACTGCTATGATTCATCTTGATATAACTTGTAAGAGTGTTAAAAAAAATTACTAAATAGATGGTATTCAAACCTGGAGTGAATTAAAGAAAACATTCCATGTTATTCTGAAGATAGCACCTTTAAATTGAACTTCAGAGGAGGGACAGGGAGGAGTTGGACAGGACTCCTAGCAATCATCCAGTCCTTTTCAGGGCTGACCAAAAATGTGGTGTTCAAATATATTTTAAGCTGTCAGGTATGGGACATTGATCACCTGTCAAGGAACCTGTTCTTGGTAAAGCATCCTTCCCTAATATCACGTCTGAACCTCCCCTGATTCAGCTTTGAACCTTTCACACATGTCCTGTCACTGGATAACAGGAAGTGTAGATCAGCAATTCCTTCAATTCCCCTTCTCATCCCGATTAAAATCAACTGAGTTTGATTCCTGGGCTTTATTGACGTAGACAAAATTATTTTAGTACTGATTTTAAAATTAAAAAAAAATTATAAAGGTATGAAACAATAACATTATCTCCAAAGCTTGAGATGCATGGGTAAATTAGAAACAGTTTTGTTATTTTGAAGTAACTTACTCGTTTGACTTTTGGAAGAAAAATTAGTCCCCAAATTTTCTCTCTCTTATTAAGAGACAAATGTTCTCTGTGTTATGCACACATAGAAGTACATATATCAGCTGCAATCTGGTCTCAGTGAGCTCCATATTTTATGCGAAGTAGGTCTATGAAGGCACATTTTGGGATTCTTTTATTGATCTAATTGAAGGGGGATCTAAACTGATTGCCCCAGCCGTTTTCTGTTAAATTTTGGCTGAAGTTTACTGTCCCCAAAGTGGAATTCTCTTATGAATACTCCTAGGCCATTTCAATACAAAGTCAATTGAGTAGGCTTAAAGCATCTTAAACCAAATTTGGATGACTTTACACTTTTTGTGAACAACTTACACAGACAATTTTAGCTTTACAGCTGTGTCAACAGAAACTGCAAGAAATAACTTCTCAACTTCAATAACTAGATGTGAGAGAAATGAACTGTATATGCCTTCAGTAGCCCTTGGAATGAGAAAAATTAAAAAGAATGTTAGATTGTGGCAACATGGCTACTAGCTCAGCTTCAGGACAAATCAATATCTGCTAATGGTAATTCAGATTAGACTAATCAGAAACCAAACTCCCAAATCTGTAAGAATTGTGAATGATTTTTCTCACCACACATAAAATCAGACACCTTTTGAGTCAAATTTCATACAAAGTTCACAGAGTCCATGTTCTTTGTGGCATGGACTATTGTAGAAATACTGTAGCAAAAAACTGTGGTAGAAAATACAACCTGCCTCCCAAGCAGATTCAGCCCTGGGAGAGAGCTTGTTGTCCCTGTTGTATCCTGTCTGAAACATTATGCTCTTACCTAGAGCTGCTCTCTGAATTTGCCTCTGGATTATCTTTCCTTTCAGATGGTCTGTAAAAGACACAAAATGAAAAAAATTAGAATTCAAAATGTCAAAACTCAATGAAGTCATTGACTATTTCCCACCATTTGAAACTCCCTGTGCTGTTGGCCAATTTTAAGTTTTTTTGTGATCCATGGGACAAGTTGATTTCTGAGTTTTCTCCTCTCTACTGCAAGTAAACAAGTAGGTACAATGTGACTCTACATGTACTGAGAGTTAACTATACAGTAAGAAAGAGTGAAAACTAACATTTACTGTCAAGCACTTTCACAGGATAATGATCTCCTACTGCTAGATACAAAAGAAGTCCAAGTGGGATCAGAGGACATACGGAATCTCAAGTATTTGTTCAAACAGATTTAAAGGAGCTTACGAGACAGTAGGTCACTAGTCTACCCCTTTGCCAGTGAAAACCTAATTCCCCAAAATCCATTTTTTCCTGTCGTGCTTGGTATTAAATATCCCATGTACTAGAACTTTTGCAAGTTCTACTACTGTCTTGGTTCTGACCAGGGTTAATTTTTCCAGTAGCTGGAAGGGGACTGTGAGGTTATTCTGTACTGCCTCACATAATTGCTGGGGGCAGGGGAAAGGGATGCTCTTCTATACTGTCTAATACTGAGGGGGTTTTCCGTGTACTTGTTTCTTTTCCTGTACCCTCTGCCATTAGCATTGTTGCTGCTACTGTTCATTTTCTTATCTCATTTCTATTTATCCTGTTCTCGTCTCAACCTGTTATCTTTGCCTTTCTTACCTCCAATAATTCTTTGCATTCTACCACAGCTGGGAAGGGGAGGGGCGAACAGGGCAGTGAGAGACAGCAGTGTGTGATTTGGGGAGTCTTGGTGGGGGCACTGAGTTGGGCAGTAACATTCCTAAATCACGGCAACTACTCAACAGGACTCACTGTGTAGATGTCATTGGCTTTCAATCAAAAATTAACCAATTCCATCATCTCAACATTCCTAATTAAACGCATAACACACTTTTATCCTTCTTTTATCAATTTCCTACCTGATCTACTACAACGGGCCAGCTTCCCAATTATTCCAAACAACAATTAGATTACCACATGGGAAGCCGCTATTCAATGTCATTAATGGAACCATAAAGGAAAAACATAAATCTAAATATGGAATTTCAGCAGTAAATGTATTCAGAAGGGGGATGGGATTATGCCTCTTGAGTTTTCAAATTAAAACAACTTCTAAGCAGAGATTTGTTCATAATATTTACTAAACTGTAAATCTGGATACCAAAGAAAGAAAAAAAATCCATTCTGCATTCACTTTGTTTTCCCCCAGACCTGTGATTATATCATATTTGTGTGCCTTTTGAATTAAAAACATAATTTTGCTTGCAAGCGAAGTCTTAGAGAGTAAGCTAATCAGAGGAAAATCAGTCATTAAAAGTTGGTAAAGGCTTAACCAGACAAGATAAAAAAACATTTAAATTCACAGGTCATGAGAATTAGATTGTTCTGTGAGCACAAAAGAACAATAACAAACTGAATTTCTTTGGAAGTTATGAGAATAATTGTTAAGTATTTAGTAGCATTTTAGAAAATTTATTATTTGCAATACACTACAGTGTAACAGTAAAATTTTGTTGTTTTGAATGCTTATAGAAAACAAACAAAAGAAAACACCTTACCTATTCTTTGTCTATAAATCAGACAGAGTTGTATTTTCTGCAGAGGAAGTTTTATTATTTTTAATTAAACCAATTAATTTTTCTGTAATTAAAGATACCTGCAAAATTAGGAAACGTAATCCGTAAAATTAGGAAAAATTTTAGATATGGAGAAACAGGTTAAGTGAAATAGCTAACTTCATCTAACCCTGCTATGAAAACAAATAAATCCTCCATCTCAGCTGTGCTAACACTTGACCAAAAAACTCAGTTAAATAAGCTGATTCATGTAACTATAGAAAAAACACCCTTGATTAATAATTTTTACTGATAAAATCCCAGGTGAATGAGCAACATTGATGTTATTTGTGCTTTGAAAGCTCTAGAAAGCAACTCAATTTCAATACTCAATGACATGTGATTAAAAATGCTACTTTTTTCTCAGATTAATTTCTCAGTTTCTCAAACTCAATATTGAGCCATAAGGCAGCCATGAAACAAGTTGTAGTAATTTTGAAATTTATCTCAATGGATTACCATTAACAGAGATGCCTCAGAAACAATCTATACATTTATCTTTGTATAAGGGCTCAGAAACTCTCTTAAGCACTGTGAGCTGCAAAAGGCAACTGCCACTGTAGTTTGAAAAAAATTGTTCCAATAGGGACAATAGGCTTTTCATCAAGAGCCACCTGAAAATAAGGGTGACATACAGTTCTCAATCTTGTCAATAAATGATGTTATATCTCCTTCTTTAACCTTGCTAGAAACAGATTATCCACAATCTAAATGTTTTGCGTTTCAAGTGGCAATGAGGTCAACTGAAAAAAGCAGGCCAAACAAGTCAATGAGATCAAGCAGACAGACAACAGATTGCCATCAATACAAATATGTGGAAACACAAGAACACTGGGACTGGGTTTTGAATGATTATAGCCAAGAGGCTTGACTTTCAATTGCATAGGATTTACTCTGAGCACAGCTGAGATAGAACCCACAGAGGCTGCAGAAGCTCTACTTGTATTGCGAGCTTTGTCAGACCATTCAGCAGTGTGAAACTTTCCCAAATGTTCCTCTCTCCCTTCATTCTAGCCCTTGTTACACTTCTGCTCCATCCATGACATGGACCATGATGTTGCAAGAAAACATCTTCTATTTGCCATCTTTGTCAAAGAATGAGAAGTTTGAATCAGATCACCTGCAATCAGAGAGGAATCAAAGAAAACTCCATTGGCTAGAAAAACAAAACTCCAGCCTTACTATTCTTCTAGCAAAAGAGTTTTCTTTTTCTTCTTTAAATAGAAATAGAAAGGTGACATTTATCCAATTCACATAGTCCAAACTGCCTTTTCAGGGCAGCAAAAACTGAAGTTCATTTCCCATTTCCTGAAGAGAAGCTGAAATTTTATTATGGGAAAAGTATGCCAAACACGAGTTCTAATTTGGGGGACATGGTGGTATCATAAGGCACCTGACTATAATTCCATACAAAGACTTATCCAGCCAGATATGATTTAATCTTTCAATTTGTTTTAATCCAATCTGAAATTCGACAGTTTGTTTAGATTTCATTTGGGAGAAAAATTGTTTTCACTTAGAAGCTCTTATTTTTGACAAACCCTTAAGATCTTCTGTGTATGTTTTTGATTAACGTAATCTTGTTTTGTTTTCACTATAAATACTTGTGGGGGAGAATGAATGTTTCTGACCTGCTCTACTTTTCTGCCTGTGAGAACACCATTGTCCCAATGCTAGGCTTGAAATTCATAAGTGACAGAAGCAGGGGATGATTCCAGTACCGTTGCCTGCACAAATCTTCCCATATAAACAAAAGGAAGATTTCAGTCTTAAGTACTGCCAGTTCTACAATCTTCATAAACACAAATATATACCCAAAGAAATATGAAGAATCACATTCTCATGAGAAACCCCACCATGTCTTCTGGTTCCAAGTGTAAAGTTGTGGACGAGGTAGTGCTTAAATGTGGTTTACAAAAATTGAATTTAAGACATGGAGAACATCTCTCAGCATATGGCTAATTATATTTTCTAAGTTTCACCAAACAAGAAGCTAAAAATAGATCTATAGCTGATACCAAATAATTTTTTCCAGCAGAGTCATTCTTCATCTGGAGATAACAGTCCCAATAAAATGTTGACTGCTGCAACTCCACATGTTTTGGCAAGAAAAGTAGTTTTGTGGAATTTAAGAATTCACTCAGCATGCAGCCAGCTGTCATTAAGGCTGTGATAAATCTGTTGGTTTTGGACTGTATTTCTGGAGATATGTAGGTATGGAAAAGAGATGAGCTGGTAACATAGAACTTCGCCTTTGTGACAGGAGACAAAAGCAAGGAGGGAGATGGAGAAAACAAAATGGAACAGAGAAATCTAATTAAGAGTGATGTAAAGCAGAGGAAAGTATCCCATATGGTGACTAAGTATGACAGAATACATAACTTGAATAATATGTCTGTCCTTTAACTTCTTGTTTTTGTGTTGTTCCAGATAGTTTCAAGGATCTGAAATTATCTTCCAATGTATTATAGACAAGGAATGCTTTATCCTGAAACATATGATTCAGGACAATATAAAAGTGAATATATTACAATTTAAAAAACCTACTAATTTAAAAAAGGTTTTTTGTTTTGTTTGGTCCACATTACAGGTTTTAAAACTTCTCTTATGCCTTAGTAGAGCCTCAATATAATACTATTATAAGATTTCAAAGACCACTAACTCAAGAACTGACAGGCTAAAGCCTTTGTCAATGACTTCTCATCTCTTCTTATTTTTTAGTATTTTTCTATTATTTTACATTTTCCAAGCCTGCCTTTATCTTAATACATCCTTTCACCATGGAAATCTTGAAACCTTCACACCTCAAATAGGATGCTGTATGTTTCACTTTCTTCATTGTTAAATCATTTTAGGTGTTACACGAAATATCTAGCAGAACATCCTCTTATGCATCCAGGGCATCTGATTCCTCAAATTCACCCTCCAGGGATTTTGGGTCCCTAATCATGCTATATGGTTTTAGATATTGGGTTTTTTTCCCTGTTTCTCACACTACCACACCAGTCAATATACTGGAGGGGAACAAGAAGCTATGATGGAACACAGCTGGGGCAGCTCACCCCAGAGGGCCAAAGGGATATTCCACACCATGTGGCATCATGTTTCGTTAAAAAAGGCTAGGGGGAACAAGAATGAAGCAGAGGCATTTGGAGTGATGATATTTGTCTTCCTAAGTCACTATTAGGAGTGAAGGAGCCCTGCTTTCCTGGAGATGGCTGAACACCTGGCTGTCAATAGCGAGTGAAGGAATTCCTTATTCTGCTTTGCTTATACACACAGGTTTTGCTTTACTCAT